AAAAAAATGAATTTGTTCGATGTTGATCAACCTCAGTTGTGGATCAGTTGTGGATTAGCGTTTCAATATCCATACAGCCCATACAACGAATAGCAGGGGAAGAGAGAGTGGAGGACGGGGGACGGAGGGAGGGGGAGGTAAGTAAATAATATGCATACAAGTGCCTTTATTTTTTTTAAACTAGACCAATTAGAAGGCTTGATTATCCTCACCGGTATTTATCGGATCGGCGAATCGTGGGAGATAGCGTACGGTGCTTCCCACCGCCATTCCATACATTGGAACAAATCAATACTGAAATAATAAACGCAGTTTTGGGGAGAAGCAATCATATTTTCGAGCCATTTGAGAAAAATTTAGCAGTCCGTAGGTCAAACGAGCTTTCAGTGGGAACAATGGCCTTATGGTTGCGAATATTTAGTGCAGTTTGTCGTCGTTAATAGCATTACCGCTTTTGCTGGATTTTAGTGGCCGGGAACATCAAAATTTATCTTTACCTGATTTTGTGACGATTACTAGACATGGATAGTAGTGAGCTGTCTTCGCTTTCTCGGACCTTTGGATAAGGAACAGTATCGAAAGCAGTGTTCCCCATGTGGTGTAAACGTCGCCATCATAAAGTACAACTGAATCTGGAGCAAGTTTGTTTGACAAGATTCCAACAAAAGTGGAAGTGGAAGATCCTGTGAGCCAACCCACAACTTTACCCGAAGTAAGCGCAGTAATAAATGTGCCCTGCTCGGTGCACTCTTTGTTGGTAATGGGTACGGCCCACGTATTCGATCTTGCGACCTAATTCAGACTTCTAACATTTTTCCTCTTTAAACCTTTCAAGCCAAAAGCCGAAAAATCGAATCAACTTTGTTTAAAGCGAACAGACCTTCGAAATCCTCGCGTTTGCCTATTTGATGTTACAGGAAACGATTTCAAGCTAGAGAAACTAGGATCCGTGCTTACTTTTTTTTTGAGAGTCCTGCGGCCAACACTCTAACGCTCTCTGCTTCTGTGTTTTCATACTTTTCAAGAATAGAAGAATGACATCTACACCGCTATCTCTAGTATTTTATTCAGCATCCATTATTTTTCTCTCTACCATAATCTTCGAAATTAGAGCGCGTTCTAAGCAGGAGACCTGTCCCTGAACCTGTAAGCGGAAGTAAAGTCAATTAGAATTGGTGCATAGATTCGCTTTTGATAGACGATTGAGAGAATGTACCAGTGGGAGTGGTGGGCAAAGCAGTTGCTCTGGAAGAATCTGTTTTCACAAAATTAATGCAATTAATATGGGGTAGGAAAAGCCGTACTCTTGACTGCTGCAGTACTTCCACTCTCCTCATAGAAATAAAGGACCTTGCAGCGTTTGTTTCTTCTGAGCGACTCACCTTGCGCTATCTGAATCTTCAGCTAAAGGATGTTGTATGTAATAGCTGAGTCATATTTCACCAACAACTTGCTCCTTTTCCCATTAAGTTAATTATTTTTCAAGTACGTTCATCCATTCAATCCATTCGTTCAATCAGTACATGAGAAAAAGCTAATTCTTGAAGAATTGATCTAATCTGGAGTCAATAGCGTCTGGAAACTATTAATGTAACTACATCCCAAATAAAACCAATTTATGCAGGTGTGGTTCCAAAATCGCCGAGCAAAATGGAGGAAAAAGGACAACCTGAAAAATGGACATACAGATCAAGCAACATCCAAGGAGGATGGCCAGGAACTTGGGAAGGTAAGTGTTGAAGCAGCATGTGTTCAATTTCTGGACACTTCAGCGTTAAGTGAACTCTATGACTGTAATGAATTTGCAGAACAAGGACTGCAGTGCATTTTCCATTGAAAATCTTCTGGCAGCAAGCAGAGTTCCTCGTGGACGTCGTCCGAATGCAAAATATCCACGAGTTCAGGTTAGCGCTACGTTCCGGTTAGGAGGAGTAGAGCAATGTCGGCTTTTTCTTTTTTGGATGCCACTCACGGAATGTGATAAACCCAGCATGATTCAGTTTTTTCATATTTTATGTGTGTCTAACACAAGGGCTCCGCACCAGAGAATCAAAAGGAGTTACACAAAAAAGAATTTTGAGAACAACGCTCCCGCGGTTTACTGATACCATCTAGCAAAATCTGAATCAGTTCTGTTTGATTGACTTCTAAGAGTTTGAAAAACCGTTTTGTGAAATAATGAAGTGCTCCACTTTGTCCTCCCGGACAAGCAGTCGGTCAATAAGTCTCTCGAAAGCATATCTCGGTAAACATCAGAAAAAGAAAAAAAAGGCGCTTTGTCAAAATGTAGGCTCTGAGGAAATTCCTCTGAGCTGAGCAAGTTTCTATATGGCCATCTATGAGCTCTATCCTGTTTTGCTGCTACGATGTTTCAAAGTCACACTTCCAAATAATTTTGGGGTATCTTGATTTAGACGAAAAATGGAAACAATCGTCCAGAATAGTGCCAAAATGACAGTGACGAAGAAAACGAAGAATTTAGCGCATTTAGAAAAATATATATCTCCATAAAACGCTTAGTTCGGAAAATGGACAAGAACGTGACGAAAAGGTTATGGAAGGGGTGTTAGCCGAGCTGTCTGACCGTGTGTCCCATTGCGTACAGCTGATTACGGTAAGCTACGTGCTTGCAACTTGTGCGTCCCGGTGCGGTGCGACCTCTACAAATCCTCAACGACGTGAGAACTCGTCCACCTTAGGTGTGTACGGGTGCCAAGCCGACGTTAGAGCCCTCATTATGCCCTGTCTAGGTCAATTTTATACCTAACATCGTTCCTTGTGCTTTTTTTGGATTCACAGGCTTATTCTAGGAAAAAATCTAGAGGTCATTTTCATCGTGAATTAAGCCTTTAACAGAGTAACACGCAGAAAGTGTATCTGTGAATAACAATTACTCTTTCAGGCATGCAAAAACCTTTCCCCCTTCATGTTGCCTTTATTCCCTATCACTCAGCCGGCAGGGAGGACAATTCGAGAGTCGTCACCTCGACATGGTACAAAGCTGCCACCAACAGAACCGTCTACATTTATCAACAATCGTCAAGAGACTAATTAATGCAGCTAGTCTTCAGTACAATCGACTCAGTGAGGTGTTTGAACTCTTCACAAAGTTGGGCTGCAAAATTTATTGGTACCCTTTGACCTAACTATTGTGGGCTGATGGGTAGCTTCGAGAATCTCTCTAAGCTGCGTCTGTTGGCTCATCTTTCGACTCTTCCGTGTCTTAAGTGCCTCGAATTCCGGTGTGAATATGATAAAGTTCACTCAATTAGTTAGAAATTCCACTGTTTATTCTGAGCTATGGGCAAGGTGGGGTCGTCAAAGCTGAGCTGATAAAGCGTACCAACTTTGTGAAGAATTCAAGCGGTCAAAACACTATGTTGAGAGCTATGCAAAGCCATTTGTTTGATAGTACAAACAGAAATAATCTCAAATATGTCGCTTTAATAAGCATGTCTGTGACACAAGTATTGTTGCAAGTCAACCATAGATACTAGTTTACTATAAATTAAGCAAATATGTATAAGATTCTCAATAAATATAAAAGAATGTTCAAACATTTCGAAGTCCTGTTCATCTTCGAACTCCTGCTCCGACTCTTTGGAATCATGAAAGCTTTCGGTGTTTTCTATTGCTCTCTGGGTTCGAGCTCGAGCTGGAATTGTCAACAATCCCACTTAAAGCACTTTCCTTCCAGAAAGGGTACGAACGTTCCCAATTCGCGATTTATAGTGGTGCATGCACTCACATTTTCTTTAAGGTTGAGTGTAATGCTAATTTTGTGTAAACAGTGACCTGAGTGAACCATCGGCAGTAGCGGAGAAAACTAAAAACGGAAAGAGAAGCATACCCACAGTGGAACTTTGAATAGACTCAGGGCGACTTGACGAAGTTTCGAATGCTCGTACGAATCTGAATACTGGAACTGCAAATGTAAAGGATTGCCCCAAATGAAAGAATTGTACACAGTATCATAGTTATGTCAGTAGTATACTACCGTATATTTATCAGTCTATGTATATTCAAGTCGATATGAACCCTCACATGATCTCGCGAATCGAAGCCCGCCGGATCTGCTTTTTCTTCATAAGCTTCCTTATGTGCATATTGTCTTTGCGATACTCATAGCTTCGGTCAAACATGTGAACTAAGAAGACACGTTCGACTCTGATCCAACCGAGGATGGTCGATTCAACCTACGCTCTGTTCTCTTATTCATCTCCACCAAACTAACCTAAAGATAAGGACTATTCAACCAAGTCCCGACTGGAGCTTGCACTTCATTACACAAAACAATTCAAAGAAGTCGTGAACGCATAAATTTGCTTGAAGATGGTGTAAATCGAAATTACACGTTTGCCATTTCGTTACTGAGTGTCGACGTAGCCTACTGGTGGTGCTTTCGCTCAGCAAGTGGAGTATGCAAGTTTGCTCAACGTCATTGTCGAATACTTGGTCAGGGTTCTTCCACTGCAATTGAACTTTTGCAAACCTTGCAGCTTTTCTGTGTTTATTGACTTTTTCTATAAAAAGAAAAGAGAAGGGGTATTTGGATAAGCTAGCCAATTGTTTGTGCCACTGCGAACAGCTGGCTACAGTAAGCTGCCTGTGTGCAACGTGCGGGTTTCGGTGTGAATGGGCAACCTCTACAGTCTCCAGAACGCCGTGATAACTCGTCCGTCTTCGGTGTGTACGTCAACAGAAAAGACTAGGCGTCCTTACTACGCCCTATCTGGTTCATTCCGACCTGACAGTGTCTTTCTTGCTATCTTTCGAGATAGTGGATCATCCTAGCTTCGAGGTCACAGCTCATCCTAAGAAAAAACTTCAGGAACCATTCTCATGGTGAAGACTTTGGGAAGAAATAGGTCCTTACACTATGTGTGCATAATAATTGTGTCCTGAATCGAGTGACAAGCGGAAACGACATCCGAAGTAGGTCGCTTACTTCGACCAGTCGAGAATAGATCTTAAAGCCCTAATTGAAGCGAAATAACACAGTCTAGAAGTCCTCATATTGGCGGGGAACAAACCAGTCATTTCCTTGCATTTGCTTGTAAGCTGCCCTCCTCTGGTAATGTACACTTTTTTTATGGTAGTGTCTGTTACTATCGAGGTTAATGAGTGCTTTTCCAGTGTCAAACACTGCGACAAATTTATCCAAACCAAACAGTGTGTTTTCACAAACAACAAGAATCAATTGTTTATTATACATAAAAGATTGAGCATATGAGTTAAGAAAGTTATATTTAAAGTTTTCTGAAAAATTACATTGGAACTGTGCGAAAGTCAGAATGGATCTTCGAACATCTGCTCCTGGGGTTTTTGTTCGTGGGAACTTGCGGTGTTCTCTATTTCACTTTGCTTTTCCTGAAAAACAAGGGGTTTACACAGTCGTCAGTCAGTCACAGTCTGGTGTCTTACATAGGACATCGTCTTCTCACGATAAAAGCAAAATTTGAAATGAACGAAATAACGAAAATAATTCAAGATTTCCGGTGCACCGAACTTATTTGGCTGCTTTCATAGTCCGCCGGCCGGCCGGCCGGCCGGCGGACTATGAAAGCAGCCTTTGGCTGGCAATCCTTCGATCTAATGAAAGAAAAAATGAGCCTGGATTTTTTTTTTTACACAAGCGTCTCCTGCGCTTGGGGCAAAGTAAGGCTACAAATTCCGGTATACCACGACGGACGAGAACTTACCCAACCCACGATAATTTTGAGGGCATCCCTTCGGTTCAGGTAACAGAACTGTTGACGAGGTAGTGCATGGGAGGCAACGGAACTTAGAAATTCGCAAAATTTAAAAATTTTAAGGATTCCCGAACTAGCTGAACCGTAACGACAGACGAGGTGATTTCAGTCCCGTATGATAGCTTAAAGAACTGTTCATAGTAAGCAAATAATGCTGAAAATTGCTTCTTATTATCCCAATGGGTCGGGGGCCAAGGGCGATTATATGTTTGAAATTCCAATATTCACATATGCTCTGATTGAAGAACCTCTATACAACCGTCGAAAGGCCACATGCTAGGGTGGTGTGGAAGGAGCCCAAATTCGACTTCTCATTAAGTCCTTTTTAGGGCGATTCCCGACCAGAGAGCGACCAATGTACTATACTTTTTTGCCATTAGAAAAACGGAGATAATTTATTTTGCATTATTTTTCGTCAACAAAATAGAATCTCTACAAATTTTGCACCTGTATCCGTTTCTTCTTTCTTTCCGACTCTTCCACGTGTTGATGAGGAGCAAGGGTTTTCTGGCTTTGAGCATTTCGCTGTTTTGTCCGCTCCAATTCAAAGGAGTCAGTCATTTGAGCAGAAATCAAACTGAAGAGCCTGAAAACCTTTTTTTGAAAACTGCGACGATCCAAAACGATTCTGATCAATTCCATTGCTTATATTCTTTCTGCGAATGAGACTACACAGAGCTCTAGCTAACAGAAACGTATGAAGAACGTTTGTGAAGTCCACATCAAGCTTTACACACAGTAAGTCTCATCTCTCGTATCAGCCTAGAAATCTGCTTAGAAACTCCTGAAGAAGAAACAGCCAAAAAACTCCTGCAGTTGATATCGCGCTAGTTCCTAGCTACACTCTCCGATAAAGATTGCAATATTCGCGTCAGGACCCACACGCTCAGCACGCAAACAGCTGATCGCCGGGTAGTCTGGCGATGTTTTTATCTTTTTCTATTATTTTCTGTTATTCTTTTTGTCGTTGCGATCTATTCTCTGATTTTCTACCTTAAGAGACTGAAAAAGTTGGCTGTAGTGCTTTTGCTAACTTGTGCTTATGATTGAATGAAATTTGAAAGACATTTTTGCTTGTTGTAGTCAGCTATTCGCACCAGGACCCACACTTACGCAATGAGACCCATTGTATAGCTCGTCCAAACACCAATACTTCATTGTTCTGATCTCATTCTCGTCCAACCCCTTTCTAACGATTTTTCGAAGCCTTTTATCACTTTGGAAACGTCGTCGCGCACTTTCTTCGCCTTTATCGCATATTTTCCATGTTATCTTCCATTTCCCGTCATAATCTGGATTACCCAAAATTATCGTGAACTGTGCCTTTGACTTTGGCGCAAACACGGCTCAATGTTGCAAATCCACATCATTGACAACATCATCCTCAACAATGATATGGTCTTTGGAGAATCCTACTGTACTAGTTCTAGCGCGTCCTTCGAAAGTGAATAGTTGTTACTGATTGACCCTTTATTGCTTCCTTTCTAGGACGCGGATAGTTTGCAGCTCAAAACCTCAGGAAGAGGCGTAGATTTAATATTCCTCATACAGTTGAGGAACAATCCAGCTTATTTTCTGAACGTAGCAACTATTCCAAGAAGAATTTCCCGTGCTAGTCAAGTTAGCTCATAATGCAGAGGGGAAAAGTAGAAAAAAGCTGGAGGGTCTTAATTTTGAGGAAGAAATTTTCCCAAAAAAAAACAATGTCGTTTCACCTTTTCCATACATCTGTTATCTGCGAGGGAGTATATGTTTGAGCAAAACGCACTTTCTTCTTCTCGCCGCCCTCTTCAACGGGAATGACCTGAAAACTTGGACCAGATTACTTAGGAATGAGGTCGCTCGAGAGTGTTCAGAAAAATAAACTATATATTATAAATATTATATATCCGTGGTGAGAGCTTATTTGTAGTAGAAACACCTTGAAACTTTTGGATTGAAAGAAAATCCCAAATTCAAAATTCCTGCTTGTCTTGTTAAGCTCGATGGCGAAGTCCCGTGTTCTTCGCTAGCATCTTTAGGTACTCAACATATATTTCCGGGGCAAGCGACGTTCCAATGGGATGAAACTGCTCCACATCATCTAAGTCCTCTTCCTTGAACAAATATATCTCTTCCATATAAGTTGCTAGCCATATCTGGGTGTGCTGGCGAGTGCGTTGGCTCCCTCTAAGGGCATACGGTTCACGGTAAAAATGGTTCCTTCGATTCTCTCCTGGGATTACCCAGTGACCCACTGGGATGACATAAAGGACACTTTTGAAACGAAAAACTCAATAGCATTAGTAAAACGCATTTTATGAGGCGCAATATCGGAATTGCTTACGAGGATGATTGAGGTTGGGTACTTCTGCTGTTAATCGTGGTTTGTCAACTTATGTTAGTGATTTTTATTGTATTGAATAAACATTTTGCTTACTGTAGTCAACTGTACGCAATGACACACATTGCATAGCTTGTCCAAATACAACTTCTACGTCATTTTTTGGCCTTATCTTCATCCAGCACCGCTTTTAACGACTTTTCTTTTATCTCTTTGGAGAGAGCGGTTCTCGTACTTCCTTCGCCTTCGTCGTACTATTCTCCACCTCTTTTATTTTTCTTCATAACCTCGATGACCCAAAATTATCGTTAACTGTATCTACAAACTTATAGCTTGAAGGAAGATTGGGCATGATTAGTTCTTAACCAAAATGAGAGTCTCCATGCCGATCACTATCGACATCCACTCTACGGTGGAACTGATCATCGCTTCGTTTTTACAGCAGAAAAGGAGAGAGCCTTCCTCCAACTCACCAACTTTTCTCTTTTTTTTTCGGTAAAAAGGGATGGTAAGTACTTTTGGTGACCAGTCGCCGGGTGCGCTTCGTTGCGCGCGTCCGTCGAAACTAGGTCACGCCGCAGCCGTCGCATGCGGCGGGTCAGCCCGCGATACTTGACAGACGTCGCAGTTGTCAGTTGGGCATACATTTGCGCTTGGTCCACGGCAGTCAGCCAAATAGAAGATAACACGGACGAATGCAAAACGTTTGCTCCACTGACACTTGGTGGCACTGTAACGTCATCTTGAGACTCAGTGGGGTGCGCCGCGCGCGAAGTGGGCGGAGTGACCTGCTTTCGACGGACGCGCGTAACGGACTCCCCAGCCGCCTCATAATCACCTTCATGCCGAAGCCAAAAAGTCCTCGTAGGTATGTAAGAAGTCCGACTATATAAATACAACGTGATTGCTTGATTTGGCAAACCTTTTCACCAGTAAGGTAAGGTATGAAACACTCGATGAATGTAGTGAGCACAACATCGAAGTAGTTTTTTTCGAGTTGATTTTGATTCTGCTCGAGGAAACTGAAAAGAATTCCGAGAAAGATTCAATCAATTGTACATGCCATGTCGAGGGTACCTTTGTTTGACGTGGATACGTCCGGTCTTTCGTACGAGTTGCCATGCTCCAGACAAATTCTCAGTAAAGCCAAGCATTGTCGTCGTCTGAAAAAGTGCTTATAGTTATGTGTCATGAATACTAATATAGCAACGAGTACCTGTTCTATCAGCTCAGTAAATCGCGCTACATGGCCACCGAACTTTGGCATTTTGAGCATACCTGCCTTCGGCGCCCGTTCCACTCCGAACACCTGCAAACAGAGACTTGCATATGTACAAAAAGACTTATTCATCTCTGCTTCCATACTTCTTCCAAGGTATTAAAATCCAAACAACGCTGGCATAAACTGAAGACAACATTAATAACCCCTCTCCTATGATCCCATGTCTGGACCGGCCCCATAACACCATTGGGTGAAGATGTAAAGCTGATCCCTCTAATCGTTAGGGGGATGATCTTGATATGGAAATCTGCCGAGGTTTATATGATCGTCCCAACACGATTCAACCATTTTCGCGACACTTTCATCTTTCGCTTTGAATCCAATCAAAGTTTCATCCACCTCATTCAGCTTCAACATATTATTATGTAAGGCAGGCATAGTAGTTCTTTTGAAGGTGCAATATGTGAAAAAAGTTCTCAAACCGTCGCGGATGGAAAAACAAACCTTTTTGAGTTCTGGTGCTATATCGTTCACTATATCGACGAATATCAATCCTACAATATCCTTGGGATCATCGAGCTTCTGCAATATTTACTTGTGACTTTTCAAGACTGCTTGGCATAAATGTTATTCTATAGTCCTTCGCTCGGTGCATTGCGTTTCGTTTCTCCAGAAGAAAGGAGGCGCAGTTCGCGAAAAAAACGACTTCTGAGAAAAAATAGTTTTTCTAGAGTGAACCTGTGACCCACAGGGTAAAACAAGGGACGCTGTCGGATCAAAATGGCTTAGTTCACGACAAAGTGGTTTCTGGGATTTCTTCCTAATATGAACCTGTGACTTTAGACGCTGTTGGTTTGAAAATGGTCCAGCGAGAAGCCCAAGACTGAATTAACCAACGTACAAGCACAAGGCGGATCTCATAGCGTTGCGGAGTCTGCGGAGGTTGCACCATGCCGAATGGGATGCACACGCTTCACGCAGGCGGTTTAGCCAGCTGTACGCGATGGCACACACATTAAAATAAGTCGTCCAAATACCCTTTTCTTGCAACTTTTCTCGTCTCATTCTCGTACAACCATCTACATTAACTACTTTTTTGAGACCTTGCATTTCTCTCAATACGCGGATTTTCTCGTTTTTTCGGCCATTTGCAGTATATTAGATTATCTTTTCCATTATTACTTGAAACTAGATAAAACTAGATACCCTAAAATTGTCGTGAACTTGATTAGAGCATTTTTCCCAACGATAGAACTGGAGTGGTACGCGTTGAGCCTTTGCATCCACAGAAAACACTCTACTCCATTCCGAAGCGCTTCATCTACCACTTGCCTGCCCTGCACCTCTTAGAATATATGTACATCGAGTATCACCTGTAAAATAGGAGGCGGAAGGCGTAATTGTTCATTGGCCTTGCCTTCCTGCGCTTGAATCAAAACTCGAAGAGCTTTGTCGAAGCGAAGATAGCAGAGCACCGATGAGCAATGTTTGACAATGCTGATATCTCTGATTATATGGTTTCGCTTCGCTGCTTCTGTGCTTGTAAATAATGATTATAAATAATGATAGTTTTTACTTGATGTTTTGTTAACTACTGTTATTTCGCCGCAAAACGCGATGCAAAAGTCTCACAAGGTTGGCGAGTGAAGATAAGAAATGATAGTTGTCTCACTATTTGGTTTACTCAGCAGCATTTCTATAACTATCAGTAAGCAACACTCTTGACCATGCTTTGAATAGTACCTTCTAATTTTGCTGAAAAACCACATTGATACGATTAAAATGAGACGCGTTTGGCCGTTGAAAATAATAAGTTGCTACCAACTACATACGTAACCGTAGGTTTATTACAATCCTCACCTTTTTCATACGATGGCCTTTAAGTTCAGAAAAACCGCGTTCATCGGAGAAGTATATAGTTCTAGTTGAGTAAAGAAAGTGATAGTCCAGACGGCGTATTTAGAGAAATGTAAGGCTTCAACAACAAAGTAGTTAGGGATCGGACGAGAATGTGAAAAAAAAAATCTGCATGGAAAACTCAAACGAACTCATCCTGAGGGAATATCTCAGAAACAACTTCTATAGTGAACTGTGTTTTTAGGAGAATCGAAACACCGGCATACCGAAGAATGGCCAGACAAATAAGCAAGCATACACATCTCATCTGTTTATGTAATAGAAAAATATCGAACGACGCTTTGCTCACCTGAAATGTCTCTTTCAAAAGGACTCGTTCCTTTTTAGTGAACGCTGTCTCAAATGGGTTTTCAGAATCATTGCCGACCCAGGACGCACCGACTTGCTGTAAATGGTTATGTTGTCCTGTTGTTGTATTCATTGCAACATATTTATACTGATACTCTACAAGTACCCACCACCTTCTTGCGTCGAGGTCCACACAGTGCGGATCCCATTATACGGGAATCATCTCTACGGCGAGATGGTGAACGAAATTTTGTGCTTCGGGATGTCCTCGAATCGTAGATTCTTAAGTAAGCTGCAGTATTTAAAGTTTCTCGAATTTAGAATAAGGGTAAAGCGATCCGATTGGACGAGCAAGAATTTCCGTTCAAAAGTGGAATGGAGCGAGTGATGAGGGGAAAAAGTGCATGAGGAAAAACTGATTCAAAGTTCCAGCAGAAAGTGTCCGCCCCCTCTCTTTGAGTCGTGACAGAGTACGTGAGAAGTTCGCTTTCACGCCATGGTTTTTCTTTTGTAATCATCGACAGACGATAAATTTAACTTGACATGCGGCGCTTTCTCCTCTATGGAACCCTCCCTCTAAGGAAACGTACAAAGTAAAGTGACCAAATTATCATGGGGATGGGTACATACGTGCGTCCGAGGGTGCGCGCGGCAAATTGCGCGGCGGAATTCGTGACGATTCGAACAACTCTCGCGCCTACTACTGAGGCGCAAACTTGAAGTAGAGTAGTTTAGTAGGGTCAGCCAATCATACTGATCTACCCTACTCCAAATTCGGGCCCCAATGGTAACCGCTAAGGTCGTTCAGATAGTCACGAACATCGCCACGGAATTTGCCGCGCGCATCCTCGGACGCGCGTAAGTTCCGTCCCCCAATTATCATACATACCACACCACCCGTAATCACCCACGTATGGTCACGTGTTCGATTCCCAGACCGATTTGCCCCGGATAGCTGGCACCAGACTCTTCTGGGAGGATGAAAGTGCTGACTTGTACATCGGTTAGCCACCGCAACTCATGGTATAGGCCACATACGTTTTCAATATGCTACTACGATTCTGAATGGAAGTCGAATGCGAGAGCGAACCCTTGATTGTTTGACACTAAAAGACTTTGTCCTCAATGGTTATCCGTCGAACATCCTTCTTAGCAGCCCCTCCTTCCTTTTTTCCTTTTGTCAGAACAAATTATACACTTTCGATCACATCATACATTAATTAAACGTTCAAAGGAGAATACTTGGAATTCTGCGGCCACTACTAATTGGATAGAGAGCCCTAATGAGATGAACTCAGCATGAACATTAAACATTATACTGCAACCGGTAAACAATGAGTAATGACATGCTGTTTATGAATATGGAGTTTTGATTTGTTGCCCTCAATCTTAACCTTAATCCCTAATGACTCATTGGGAATTTGATTCCACCCTTATTGAGTTCTCTGACGTATACTTTTCTATGAATGAACTTCCCTTCTAGACATCCAAAGTTTTAATTGTACTCACAATTGTAGCCACAGATGCTGTTAGCTGACGCAACCATCGCTATCTGAAGTCACTATTCTACCTTACTGCTATTGTTTTTGGTTATAAGCGGGGGTATAAGCGGTTGGACGAGATACCCAATTTGGTAGTGGTCAGTTAGGATTTGCAGCATTTGGTATAGGAATGAAGTGGAAAGCGATTTTAGGTGTGGTATCTTCTCCCCGAAGCGTCGCGCTCGCCGCAGCTGCCGATCGCGACGATGAAATGCGGTCTCGCTTGTTGATAGTAGGTCAAGGGACGAGTTATCGCATGTTTGTTGATTACTGTGTTCACTTATGCTACTAGGTACTGTTTAGGCTCAAAAGGCCAGTTAAAATAGCAAATCAGCCATCAAAAATGGTCCTTATCGATCGGCGGGGCTAAATACGGTAATTGCAGTTTGAGGCCGCGAGACAACTAATAAAGATTTGTCGCATGCGGCAAAGTGAACGTGGGAAATCGGGAAAAAGTCCCACCCTCGTTGCTCCGCATGTGATGTGCTCTTTTGAATACTTGATCAAGCGTTTCTATTAGTCAGCTACGTACATTGTCGAGCAGTAACGTCATGGGTTGCATAAAATAAAGCCCTATTCGAGTATTATGGGCACGTAACAAGTAGCGAGAAGTCTGAGCCTAATATCAGCACTTCATCATACTCTAGAAAGCTTAGAAGTCTACCACTTCTCGAACACTGAAGAGCTTTCCACACCCGGTCCATTACTGGGCTCACAAAATGAATGCAGACATCGGATTATGTGGAGTGAGGTGACTATGGTAAAACATAAAGCAGAATAAGGAAAAAGGAAAGATCAAAATTTGAGGTTTGGGTCTGACACACACCAACACCGGCGATACCTCAAAAGGCTGACCCGTTTTGTAGGGTACTCAAGTAACACATGATGAACGAATTTTGTAGTATTGCCAGTACTGGAGAAGAACTTAACAATCACGCCCGTAGAGCTAGTCTGGTAGATAGATGAAATTGAATCCTAAAAACCAGCTCCATACCTACCAGCTCGTTCGAAAAGAGATGAGAAAACCATATCAAACCAGTGAGTAATATGTGAGAAATGGCTTCAGATAAGCTCTGCAAAAAGTTGAGAAACAGTATTGAAAGTTGTTCTGCCTGAAAATGTGCTCACGCTCAAAATGGAGATTTTCACGCTTCACGTATATATGTCCAATGATCAAAGATGTCAGCTGAACATGAGCATTCTACAGAAAATAAGAAGCATGATGTTATGGGAATGCTAGACATGCAAAATTGAAGCTATTGACATAATTGTGGTTGCCATTCACGCTTAAATTGTAGAGTTAAACGAGTTTACCTCGATAAGAGTGAGAACATAATTTCAAAACACAATCAGTACGTACCGTCGGTTAGGGTTAGAGGACAGCAAATAGAGGCCATAGCTAATTGAGTTCAATCATTTCTGACCAACGAATTTGGTTTAAGCCTGTGGTTAGAACTGAATTAAATGGCTCAGCGATCGAGATAATATGAAAAGTTAAAGACGCTTCATTAGAAATCGTTTTGTAGAACTAATTCGAAGAGACGTGGAGCATATGGGATGGATGGGACCGATACCGGCTTATGGCTCTTAGGGTGCCAAAAATTTGCCCAGATAGTAATTTTTTAGGACGGATTACTTCCTGTGCTAGGAACTTGCTCTCCTAGGCGTGTTATGTGGCATTATCTCCATGTGAGCCAGGACTTTAATTGATATGCCCAATGCCCAATACACCATACCCAAACAT